TTAAGCAGTAAAAGAAATGCAGCTTGGTTCAAAAACAGATGGCAAGCAACGTACGACACCAACACGGAGTCCGATCAGAGACGACGCCGGCAGTTACCCGAGAGAGAAGGAAGCGGTACCAACGTAAACAAAGGAGGAGGAAGAGAACTGGGATCCATGCTGGGCTGAAGGCTAACCCCTCCAGACCAGCAGGACCGTCCTCCTACTCTCCAATGTCCGCCCTCTCCACAACAAGCTGGACGTTTGGTGAAAGAAACCCTCAGAGAGTGGAGGGACTGCTGTGTGTCTGCTTTAACAGAAACATGGCTCAGTGTCGGCATCCCAGACGGACATACAGCTGGAGGAGACGGGCAGGTAGCTAGATCTGAACTTTTCCAGAGCTGCTGCAGGAGCAGAACACTGAACATTGTGAGGGAGTCCTCACAGCCTCTCTATGAACTGGTTGAACTGCTGCCATCAAGCAAACGTTTCCGGAACGTTTAAGGAAGAACCTCCCAACTGATCAACAGCTTCATGCCACCAGCTGTCAGGACGCTGAACTGCTGATCCAGACATGCAAACACTTCTTTATTTAATTGCTTTTAGTTTTTGGATCCTGAAGAAACGCTCGCTGTTGCATGTACAGCAAAATGACAATAAACTCGATTTGATTTGAAAAATGTAAATATTCAAATATTTCCTGCGTGTGGAGCCACTATTTTACCCCTGGTGTGAGTAACACCTGTGGGCACTTTGAATAATGTACCTGCTGGTTCCAGGTTTGTTCAGTTTAAGGGAAACGTTTTTCTTTTGCACACTTTACGGCGTTATAACTGTGTTATGCTGCACAAAGACATTCTGAGTCGTCTCCACTTGGAGCCATTAGTGTTCTGCTTCCACAGAGGTGCAGGACTTTGTGTTGCAGCAAATAATGAGGCCTCAATATGAGGAAAAATACCACAAAACAGAACCAGAAACTGCCGGGGGTTCAGACGGCTGAGCAATCTCTGCGGCTCTGGTATCTGTTTTGTGTCGTGAAAACTTTAATATCTTATTAGCGGCGCAGAAGAAGCGATTACACACAAGCCGTGTTGCTACACAACAGTCAGCAGAGTGCAGGTAAACACTAACTCCACCTTTCAGTTCATGCTGCCCGGTGGTTGAGCAAGCGACAAATAAGACGGCAGAGAGCCGGGGAATGATTAAACCTCGCTGCAAATGATTATCCGCGGCCAGCAGCATGACGAGCAGCGGCAGCGAGCTCTCTAATAGTACAGTACGGCGCCCGGCCTGTTATTGCCCCGATCAATTCCAGCTTGATGACACAGCAGCAGAAGGGAGCTCAATTACACAGGGGACACTTAGATGCAGTCAGAGATTGTATCATTACTGCTGTAGGTCTCAGGGCGCAGCGACTCCAGCTAACACACCCAGGCTTGTTCCAAAACAGTCTCCCAGCACCGATTCAGACCAAAGTCCGCTGAGAAGGCTGCAGAGGACTCACTCCTCCCTGCTTCAGCTGCAGCAGACAGTCAGACAGGACGAGGAAAACAGCACCAAGTCATGCCTCTGTTAGGTTTTAAGGAATGTGCAGTGTTCTAGTCCCTGATGCAACACCATGAACTTGTTAAACATTATATCTGCTGCTCAGCAGGTTAGCACGTTAGCTGAAGGGACCCATCACTGCTGTGTGCTTGATTTAGCACTAACACAAGTGGACTGGTAGAGAAGCCCACTAGCAGGTTGGAAAGGCATGTTATCTTTTATTTAAGAAGTCAAAATTAGTATTATTGTACATGTATCAGGCCTATAAACTGTGAAACCAGAGAGAATCTTCCTTGAAATCATGCGTGATGTCCTGTTTGATCGGAAAATTTCACCAAATCAAACTTATAATCAGGATATTTCATCAAAAATCACTTTATCCTGCATGTCTCATTGAAAAAATTGCCACAAATAAAGTCTTTGCACCACTTTTATTAGCAAAAATGCTGTACATCTGTTAGGAAACGAGTAGTATTCCAGTTTAATGTGCAATACTTTGTGTTTAGTGCAAACTAACACGATAAACATCCTGCATGTTAGCATGTTAGCTAAACGTTGCNTCTGTGTCTTTACCAAATTTCATAGCTTTTGGAGTTTTATTCCAGGACATATTGAACCTATAAAAAAATATGTGGTTTGAGTCCACATCTCCGTTTTGACATGTCAAAACAGTAACTTGGCTTACAATACTGGAGACACATCAAATTAAACTGACGTTAGAGGTCTCAAAAGTTGGTGAACTGTCAATCAAAGACTGTTTTCTTGGCACGAAATATGGATAAATTCATAACTGTACACATATGGGAACTTTCAGGATCATGAATGCCACACTTGTTTAAAAATTCGGCACTTTCTTCCTTTTTCCAAGACCAATAATTGAAAAAAATATCATCTAATAAGATCAATTTAATGTTATAGATCCGCAGTAAACACTTTAATCTGTGTCCTCACCAAATTTCATGGCTTTTGGAGTTTTATTTCTGGAGATAATGAACCCTTTAAACAAAAAAAAAGTGGTTTCAGTCCAAATTTTTATTCTGACATGTCAAAACAGCAAAAAACTGGAACCTTGGCTTACAATACTGAACACATATCAAATTTTACTGATGCTAAAGGCCTTAAAAGTTGGTGAAATGTCAATCAAAAACTATTTTTTGGTATGAAATATGGATAAATTCATAACTGTACATGTATAGGAAATTTTTCAGACACTAATGCCATGTTTGTTTAAAAATTTTGCACCTTTATTTCGATTTTCAAGGACCAATAATTTAAAAAATATCATCTAATGGGAGCAATTGAACATTTTAGATCTGCAGAGAACACTTTAATCTGTTTCCTCACCATATTTCGTGGCTTTTCGAGTTTTATTTCAGGAGATATTGAACCCTTCAGATGGCTTCCCCGCAAGACAGTTTTTCGAGGTTCTGAAAAAGTCTGAAATTCTCAAAATTTAATCTAAATATTTCACAGAACTTAGTGTTGAGTTTCAAATAATAACATAAACAAACACAATCTGAGACGGTGCAGCAGCACACTTCTTGAATTCTGTCTGCTTTGGACACCAGCTGACCCAGGACAGTCGTATTTTATGAGTTATTTGACTGCGTCTCAGTCCCTTCAAGCCGCTGCAAACGGATTCAACACACTTAACTGCCGGGGAAGCTTCTGACGGTTCAAAGCGAAGGCATATCTGAGGCTTATAAAACCCTCTTTAAATGTATTCTTGCCGGTTTGATGTATAGAGTACACGTGCCACTGCATTAACCTCCTGTTAAGAATGAGCTGAGGGCTCCGGGCGGCATATAAATGTGCCATCAGCGCCTAATGAAGCCGTCTGACGACGCGGCGGTGCGGCGATTAGAGAGGCCATCCAGGAACAGGGAGGTCACGGGTTCAACACCACGTAACATCCAGCAGTGTGATCTCCTGAGCCCGACATCGTCACTCGTGGCTAATCCCTCCTGATTGAGCGTGTTGGCTAAACGCCTAAAATGTAAATGTAATCAACGAGTTTATGGTCGGGCTAAGCTCGCAGCCAAAAAAAAATTAAGAACCAACGCTGTAAATCGATGCTGCGCGGCGCGGATGTGCTGACTGGAACAACAGAGGAGGAGTATTGGATTCCTCGCAGTTACTTTGCCGTTAATCGTCATCCATCACCTTCTGGATGCTGTAAATTTCTGACGGACCTGCAGTGTACGCTACGCACAAGATCATCTTCATGAGCGGATGTACGTTAAGCTGCAGCCTCAGGTTTCACAACTTATCTTTCAACTGTCCCAACTGAAAATTTTAAGGCATAAAAATATTGACGTTTGTTCAGATTTTTGTAAAATTTTAGCTTACTACATCAAAAACTCTTTTTAAAAAGTTTCCTGTCAATCAAATTTCAGCACATTTTTTCTTCATATTTAAATTTGAGGCTGTTTAAACGACAAAATCTCGGGAACTATTAAAGATAATTTAGTGGTAGTTTCATTATTAAACCCTAAAACAAATCATAAAATCTTTAAAACAATTTCTGCTTTGATTTGCCTGAAATGTTCATAGCATAAAACATGAATACTTATAAGCATACATGTGAAACTATAGCTTCATATATCAAATACTTTCTGAGATAACTTAGTGTTTTTTTGTTTGTTTTTTTTTAGTTGCCTCAATCTCAGCAGGTTTTGTTTTTTTTCGCAAATTGAAACGTGAGGCTCTTTCAATGAGCAATATCTCAGGAACAATTAAATCATTTCTCATCATGTCATTGATTTAGAATCTGTATTATTGGAAAAGTAGATTTAACAATCTCTGATTATGGCCGAGTTGAAAAATGACCAAAAAAAAAATCATGAAAAGTCCCATTTTTGAGCACATTAACTACACAAGTGACAATGCAGAAGTTAACTAGTGATATTTTCGTGGCTTACATAGCTGCATGTCACAATAATACAAAACAAATAAAACTTTTAGGACAAAATAAATGGTCAGAGAAGTGAAATTAAAGTTATTTTTGTTCAATTTTCACATCTGATTGAGCAGTTGCACCATAAAAAACTAAAATATTTCTTGTAGTCCTTAATATATCTGTGAAATTTTTGGGATATCTTTTTTTATATATGCATAGTTTTTTGTTTTTTTTAGTTTTCTGCAGCTCATCTGCGGTTGCTGGGGGAAAAAGTGTCTGTTATTTTTTGAGAATGTTTTTTTAAATTGTCTTTATTTTGCTTTTGAATCACAATTTAGTTGAGCACACCATTAGTTAAACTTGAATGAGAAATTTAGCCACTAAAAGCAGCTAAACTTTTAAATTTTTCCACAGAATGTGGATCCTCTTTTTCTATTTCTAGCGCTGTTAAAAGATTTTTTTCAAAATTAAGGACAAATTAAGGAATTCAATTAGCGCCAGAAAGATTTTCAGGGCTCTAAAAATCAGCTTAACTTCTGCAGAGACGGCGATCCGTGCTCCGAGTCGCCGTACTTACTGTCCTTCGATGAGCCAGGTGCACTTGGTCTTGTACTTGTAGTTTCCCGGACCGTCAGTCAGGTAGCCAGACGGTCCTGTCAGCCTGCGAGGAAGCACAGACAAGAAGAGTTTCAAGGTTACTAAAGAAGATGTAGCAGCTTTTTGTTGATGCGTCTTTAACAAGGTGAACTCCTGAAAACGGTGTCCTTTCACTGTCAAGCCGGGCGCGACTCCCATGCAGCAGGTGTGAGACGAGAAAGGAGCAGTTTGTGGCGCCGGAGACTCGCAGAGAAAACACACGACAACTCAATAAATGTTTCTCTGCTTCAACATGTAGAGTGATGAGAGGGCAAACACCAGATTATAAAACAGGATAAAGACAAGGAAACCCTAGTCCTAACTGATACAGTTAATAAACATTTGCCAGTGTTGTCATTTTGAACATGTTAGTGTTTAGCTCAAGGTTTCTATCACGGCTTTATTCTGGTCTCGTAGATTAAAAACAATCTATGAGGAGTGAAAACAATTGGATTAGTGGATAGGTAAAGAAACAGTTATTAATCAAGCAGCTGTTCCTGTTTCCAGCTTCTCAAATGTGAAGAAATTAAAAGATTTTTTTGCATTAAAGCCAAAAAGCTGCGACGCACTTAGTTCCTAACATTTTCTAATTAAATGTTTATTAACCGTCCATACTATACCAGCAGGTTTGAAAGACACAGTATCAATAAAAATTTTAATTTAATTCTAAATAATCATTTATAAGAGGCATAATTAGATCATTTATCATAACCAGATGCCATAAAAACAGAACGAATCATCAGAGTTTCAAGCATGATGTGTTGTTCCATTAGAAAACTTACAAAAAAAAAAAAAGCTTTCATCCAAAATATACAGTTTGCACCAGTTTGTGCAAAAACAAAAAAATCCTGTGCTCATCAGGGCAACTGGTGAGCCATGAGTGACTTTGCTACGACAAACTGTCATGTGAGAAAAAATCTGGGAATATTCGGCTGAACTGCAGGTTGTGTTTGCACAGAGCGGAGACAAGTGTGGAAAAAAATTAAGGAGATTGAGAGGAAAATAAAATGTGCTTAAGCAGTAAAAGAAATGCAGCTTGGTTCAAAAACAGATGGCAAGCAACGTACGACACCAACACGGAGTCCGATCAGAGACGACGCCGGCAGTTACCCGAGAGAGAAGGAAGCGGTACCAACGTAAACAAAGGAGGAGGAAGAGAACTGGGATCCATGCTGGGCTGAAGGCTAACCCCTCCAGACCAGCAGGACCGTCCTCCTACTCTCCAATGTCCGCCCTCTCCACAACAAGCTGGACGTTTGGTGAAAGAAACCCTCAGAGAGTGGAGGGACTGCTGTGTGTCTGCTTTAACAGAAACATGGCTCAGTGTCGGCATCCCAGACGGACATACAGCTGGAGGAGACGGGCAGGTAGCTAGATCTGAACTTTTCCAGAGCTGCTGCAGGAGCAGAACACTGAACATTGTGAGGGAGTCCTCACAGCCTCTCTATGAACTGGTTGAACTGCTGCCATCAAGCAAACGTTTCCGGAACGTTTAAGGAAGAACCTCCCAACTGATCAACAGCTTCATGCCACCAGCTGTCAGGACGCTGAACTGCTGATCCAGACATGCAAACACTTCTTTATTTAATTGCTTTTAGTTTTTGGATCCTGAAGAAACGCTCGCTGTTGCATGTACAGCAAAATGACAATAAACTCGATTTGATTTGAAAAATGTAAATATTCAAATATTTCCTGCGTGTGGAGCCACTATTTTACCCCTGGTGTGAGTAACACCTGTGGGCACTTTGAATAATGTACCTGCTGGTTCCAGGTTTGTTCAGTTTAAGGGAAACGTTTTTCTTTTGCACACTTTACGGCGTTATAACTGTGTTATGCTGCACAAAGACATTCTGAGTCGTCTCCACTTGGAGCCATTAGTGTTCTGCTTCCACAGAGGTGCAGGACTTTGTGTTGCAGCAAATAATGAGGCCTCAATATGAGGAAAAATACCACAAAACAGAACCAGAAACTGCCGGGGGTTCAGACGGCTGAGCAATCTCTGCGGCTCTGGTATCTGTTTTGTGTCGTGAAAACTTTAATATCTTATTAGCGGCGCAGAAGAAGCGATTACACACAAGCCGTGTTGCTACACAACAGTCAGCAGAGTGCAGGTAAACACTAACTCCACCTTTCAGTTCATGCTGCCCGGTGGTTGAGCAAGCGACAAATAAGACGGCAGAGAGCCGGGGAATGATTAAACCTCGCTGCAAATGATTATCCGCGGCCAGCAGCATGACGAGCAGCGGCAGCGAGCTCTCTAATAGTACAGTACGGCGCCCGGCCTGTTATTGCCCCGATCAATTCCAGCTTGATGACACAGCAGCAGAAGGGAGCTCAATTACACAGGGGACACTTAGATGCAGTCAGAGATTGTATCATTACTGCTGTAGGTCTCAGGGCGCAGCGACTCCAGCTAACACACCCAGGCTTGTTCCAAAACAGTCTCCCAGCACCGATTCAGACCAAAGTCCGCTGAGAAGGCTGCAGAGGACTCACTCCTCCCTGCTTCAGCTGCAGCAGACAGTCAGACAGGACGAGGAAAACAGCACCAAGTCATGCCTCTGTTAGGTTTTAAGGAATGTGCAGTGTTCTAGTCCCTGATGCAACACCATGAACTTGTTAAACATTATATCTGCTGCTCAGCAGGTTAGCACGTTAGCTGAAGGGACCCATCACTGCTGTGTGCTTGATTTAGCACTAACACAAGTGGACTGGTAGAGAAGCCCACTAGCAGGTTGGAAAGGCATGTTATCTTTTATTTAAGAAGTCAAAATTAGTATTATTGTACATGTATCAGGCCTATAAACTGTGAAACCAGAGAGAATCTTCCTTGAAATCATGCGTGATGTCCTGTTTGATCGGAAAATTTCACCAAATCAAACTTATAATCAGGATATTTCATCAAAAATCACTTTATCCTGCATGTCTCATTGAAAAAATTGCCACAAATAAAGTCTTTGCACCACTTTTATTAGCAAAAATGCTGTACATCTGTTAGGAAACGAGTAGTATTCCAGTTTAATGTGCAATACTTTGTGTTTAGTGCAAACTAACACGATAAACATCCTGCATGTTAGCATGTTAGCTAAACGTTGCCATCACTGCTGTATGAAATGAAATGAAAAATGAAAATGTTGTATGTTATATGCTAAACAACCAATTTAGTACTACACTGGATGGTGGATAGGCACAGAAACACAGTTATTTTAGTTTTTGTATCATTAAAACTTTAACTTTTTGGGAGTTTTGGTTCCATAAAGCCTGAAAGCTGCAACAGATTTATTTTCTACAATTTAGAATAAAACTTTATTAACGTTCTGAACTTCAAAACCCACGAGCAGGTTGGAAAGACAAGTTATTTTTTAAATTAGTTTTTTTGAAAAGCCAAAATTGCACCATTTATTGAAGCCAGAAACTGTAAAACTGAAGAAAACCCTCAACCTTCTGACCGTCCTCGAATGAATCGTGTGTGATGTGCTGTTTGATCAGAAAACTTCATTTAAAAAAAATCACTTTAGTCTTTTCGTCTCTTCTAAAATTTGCCCAAAAAATAAAGTGTGGCACCAGATTTTTCAAAAAACTAAAAAATTCTGGGCTACTCAGTGCAGCTTATAAGCCATGAGTGACAAATACTCACATTCAGAGGAAAATTAAACATACAACAAATGAAGCACGGCTCAGTAATGGTAAACAGAGGAGCAAGTAGCTGGAGGATACATTCAGCACGGTGAAACATCTGTCTAGTGCAGAGTAGAGAGAAAAATGCAAAGAAGAATTCACCGTTCTCGCCCCAGTATTGGTGAATTTTTGAATAGAATTGTAGAATAAAGTGTTTCTGATGAAATATCACCATCTTAAGCTTAGATTTGCTTCACCTTCCTGAAGGAAAGTCGTGTCGCAAAGGTTAAAATCCAACAGTTCTTTGTGTTTTTACGGCTTCTGCGCCTGTAAACGCTTTTCAAACCTGCTGACAGGTTTTGGGGTTTTACAGGTTTAACAGCAATATAAAGATAAACGACAGTATGTGGAAGTTGCACCGCCTTTTACACATGAGGGCATGAAAAACATTCAGCCTGCTGATTTCAGGCTTTTCAATTTATACAAGATTTTCTTTTTCACACTTCATGGCATCATAACTATGTATGAAGTGTTTGCACCAGATTCGGTTAAGAAAAAAAAAAA